GTAGTCACAGTTAAACGTCACGGCACTCAATGTCTTCAACTGAAGACTAGGGCAATGTGTCTTTTGTTGTTGTTGTTTTTGCCATAATAATATCTTCCTTAATCTATTTTTGAGCTTACTATTTCTTAGGAATGATTAAAGACACTGACACTCTTGAAAACCTGAAGGGCTTGTACAGTCATCCCTCAGTGTAAGTGGAGGATTGGTTCCAGGACCTCCTGGGGATACTAAAGTCCACAGATGCTCAAGCCCCTGATATAAAATGCTATAGTATTTGCATATAACCTATTCACATCCTCCTATATGCTTTAAATTATCTATAGATTACTTATAAGTCCTAATATAATGTAAATGCTATGTAAATAGTTGTTATACTATATTGTTTAGGGAAAAATGACAAGAAAAAAAGTTGGTTCGTGTTCAATACAGATGCAACCTTCTCTGTAAATGGAGGTAACTGCTGTGAAGAGTCAGAAAATGTGCACATAAGGAGGACAGCATAGGGCCTGACTCTTGGTAGGAATTCCACCAGTGTTCCCATCATCTTTTCCCAGGTAGGTCTGTCCTCATCTAGGAATATGCTGGGGTCTCGACTCTGCAATTCTTGTCAAAATTCACTAGTCCTAATATCATTATTTCAGGACTTCGCTAGAGGGCTGACCTGCTAACCACTGTCAAGCTAATTCCAGTGAAAGCTTTGATTACTGTATTTATTTTAATGTGTTTATTTACAGTAAATGAGGGTTCCTGAAGATGCAGGGCCTAAATGTGAAAGAGTGACCCTCTTTTACTAAGCAAACCAGGGTAGGGGATATTTTGGGGGTGACATTTATCTAGAGCTCCTCATATAAAGAAACTTTTTTTCCTTTGTAAGAGATCAGGTACAAAAAAAAAAAAAATGTCTCCCTGGATAGCAGGAATCATGCACTACCCAAATCACTGATTTTTCAAACTATGATGGGCTTAAGTTTGAAAAGCATACAGAGATTCTGATTCAATGGGTCTCTGGAGAGGCCCTCTCTCTGGAAATAGCAGACTAGACCTGTAGCTTTTATTCACTGCACAAACGTAATTGACAAAATAAGCTGGCTCACTTCAGTCATGGAGTTACTTTGCACGGGAGGCATTTGCTGACTAGCAGGAGTAAAGCCAGTCAGTTCCAAATACTGATCACCTGACAGTACTCAACCTGCTCACTACTGTTGCTGTTCCTGTGCTGGCCAGGAGAAGGTGCCCAAAATGCTGAATATTACACGTTTACGATTTAAAAACAAAAACAATAATTTAAAACAAGAACAAAAGCACAACAAAACAAAATGACCACAACAAAGCTGGCTGGGTGGTATGAGATGTAATGTTAGGGAAGAGTTAATCCCAATTTTAATAGAGAAAATTAAAAAAAAAAAAGAAATATGTTACTTGATTTAAATTTTACTGCAAACTTTTGACTTGTTTTAGAGCCTGGCTACCCTTGATGGTAACCTGTTTCAAACACCTGAGAGCTCCATTTGTCAAAAAACAGGTCCTTCCTAATGTAATACGATTCTAGCGCAGGGGAGAGGGTCCCTTGGGGGTGTGCTTGCCCAGTGACATGTGCACTCTGGGAGGTTCTTTAATACAGAACGAGAGGATGGTAGTGCTGGCCCGACACCTTCTTTTCGAAGAGAGGGCAGCTCCCGCACCCCACTAAGAGAGGCAGGAAGCCTTTCTTCCCACAGGCCTCAGATCCTCTGTCACATCTCCACAGACAGGGGTTAGAGGCTACTCAAGGATGACTCTGCACCCACAAACTTCTACCACTGTTTTGACTGACTTACTAGTACGCATACTAGAGAAATTTCTAGTAGAAAATGGCCAGGATAAATCCTCATCTTTATTTATTTATTTATTTTTTCCTTTTTGTCTTTTTGTTTTTTACTGACCGGTAACGGGATCTCAACCCTCGGTGTTGTGCCCGCACCACGCTCAGCCAGTGAGCGGGAACCGGTCTCCACATGGGATCCGAACCCTCGGCGGGAGCGCCGCCACACTCCCAAGCAGCGCACTCTCCAGTGCGCCACCGGGCCGGCCCAAAGCCTCATCTTTATAAGGTTATGGGTCACACAAGCAAGAGCAAGGCCCTCGGCAGCCATGTGGGTTACAGTAGACTTTCTCAGAGAAACCTGCATCTCATACATGTGGCTATTTGTATAGGACTCCAAACAGGAACAATAGAAACATTCTTCTAACAATCTGGACTTTAGTTTACATGATATCAAATATCCCAAATCATATTTTCACTAAAATAATCATCTGACAGTCAACAGAATTAAGAAGAATAATTGCAAGGTTTGCATGGAAAACTTGACATTTTCTTAGGCTCAGCTAAAAAGGGAGTTAATTAAGTATAGTTTAGATAATTTATGAATAATCCAGGAATCTTACCAGAAATCTGATCCAATACATTGGAACTGGCTACTTTAAAGAAAATAAAAAGAACACGGTGGATCCTGGTTAATCAACACCAACCAAAAAGCAAATTTACATCTTATGTCAGATAAGCTGAAATGTATCTAAGATAGAACAGAAATAAATTAAAAGAGTAAAAAATTATGTAGCTTTCCTCAGAAATTCAGCACCTGCAGTTGTGTGCCCCGTGCCTGGTACAGCTGGAGGCAGAGGAAAAGGGCTGAAAGGACAGACAGACTGAGCTTTAAGTCCCTACTCTGCCTCTTATCAGCCATGAGTTGTTGGGCAAAATCTTTAACCTGCAAGAGCGTCAGTTTCCTCACTCATAAAATGGGATAATAACATACCTTATAGACTTCCTTTGAGAACCAGTGAGAGAATACAGACTGAGCCCTGGCATGTGATAGGTATTGTAGATATGTCAGCTATTTTAGGATCCAGAAACAGAATTTTGTTCTAATATAGAAAGTAGATAAAACAAAGTGTGCGAGAATAACTTAGTAACTTGCAAAGGCAGCAGAGATTGAATTCAGAACCCTCTGCAGAAAAAAAAAAAAGTATGGTCCTTATTTCATTGAATATCCATGAGGCAGTAAATATTCATCAAGCATAACTGTCTGCTTTACTGTGCAAACTGCTTCAATCCAAAGAACCATGAAAGATGTGCTGAGGAAGCAGGACCTCTTGTATTTGAAATAAGGATTTTGCTTCACAAAGCATTTTCACATACATGTCCTGGGAAATGAGTAGGGGTGAGTGTGTAGTGTTGGGGTCAGAGCACAGGCTAAAGGATCAGACATCTGCCCCCTTCTACCAATGGCACCTTGATCAGGTCATTACTTTTCTTATCTGTACCACGGGGATGATAATATCTAGAGCTGCTTATCTGACTTCAAAAAATAAGATGTGAATTTGGCTCTTGGTTGGTGTTGGTCATCCAGCAGCCACCCTCTTCTTTTTTTTCCAGTAACTAGTTCCAATGTGCACTGATGTGATAGGGCTGCTCTAAAGACTCAGTAAGACCATGTGTGCAATGATCTTAGCCCAGTACCAGGCAAACAGCATAGGACTAGGGCTGGCCGGTTAGCTCAGATGGTTAGAGTGTGGCCCTGTAACACTAAGGTCAAGAGTTCAGTTCCCTGTACTGGCCAGCCACCAAAAGCAAAACAAAAACATAGCACTAAAATGATCAAGACATCATCACCCAGGTTCTGTTTGAGGAGGCTGAAGTTAAATAGCTAGTCAATGGCAGAGGAGGAGCCATATCCTGGGACAATCCAGTATCAAAGCACAGGTTTCATGGTGATTTGGCCGAAACTTTGGTTTGACAGGTAGGAAGACTTGTTAGAGGTCCCAAAGCATGTCAGGAATGCAATGGGTCACAGCATCTGGTCCTTCTGCTCAGCAGTCATTAATCTACAGGCTGCATGTACAAACCTGCTCAAATGCTGCAGACAACTACCTCATCACACCATGAAAGAAATTTAACCACTTGGGCAAAAAAGAGGCTTTGGCCTTCTTGCGATGTTCCCTGGTAATCTTACCTCTTGGTCAATCTAATGTTAGGAGCTGGCTGCCATCTGTACTGTTTTACTGGTTCCTTTGCAATTATTTTGGAATGAAAAACAAACTCAGAATTTAAATTAGAGGATGATTTTTCCTGATACTGAATTCCCTTTCTTTCTATCAAGTCTAAGAAATTAGCTTGAGCCAAAGTAGGCTGTGGGCTCCCATCATCTCCTATCAATTGACTTGGACTTGTATTCACTTTTATTTTGCACCAGAGTCTTTGCAAAGATCAAGCTAAGACTGCAGCCTGCAGTTCAGTGTTGATCAGGAGAGATGAGGGGGGTAAATGCACATGGATAAAACCAGACAGGTGGGAAGAGCATTGTTTTGAAGCTGATGGGGTTGCTCTTTGAATAAATTCAAGATGGAGAAGGTGCCGTCTGGAAGGGAAGGGTGTGGCTTTAATAAATGAAGTGCCTCTTACAAAGCCCTCATCCACTGCCTGCCTACAACCAAGAGAGTGGGGATGAATTCTTGCCTTTTAGTATTTGGCGACTTCTAAGCATATTGAAAAAGAGTAAGGGAACGTGAAGCAGTGCAGATTTCAGAAGAGGCTAAATTTAAAGCCCTGGGATGCTTTTCTATACTCATGGAGATGGGACTTGCAAAGCTCTCCTCCTTTCAGCTTCAGGATCACATGAAAGATGCTGGGTTGCTATACACAGTGTACATTAGCCCATTAATTAGAATTTTGCCCAGGCTGAAGAATTTTGCTAATCTGCATATTTTGACTTTTTGCCACATACATTCTTGTCGTGTTCCCATCTCTCCTGAATCTGCACATAATCAACCCATTTCTCCAGTTGCTTGGAAGAGCTCTCTGTGCAGTTTAAATGTTACTCATAAGAAACATGAGCTTGGAACCTGAAGGCAGCAGGCTGTACTTATGGAAATGGCAGGGTGAAAAGACAGACCTCATTTGAATTGCGTAGTATTGATCACTGAAAAAATTAGGTGCTGTGAACAAAGTCTTTTGAACTTACCTGCCTCTCGGTCCCTGATACAGTAGTCTGGAGAATTCTCAAAATACACGAGGTCATTTTTCGTTGGCTTCTTAAACCTCTTGTTAGCCACAGTGAAACCGGTGCCATCCTGGTTCATGACCACCTGGATGGCCCCATTGTACTTCCTCCAGAGATAGTCGCCCGTTTTTCTGAAGTCAGCCATGGCCAGCCAGCATGTCCTCAGAGTACATGAGCCACTCACACCATGACACTTGCACTCTTGTTTCAAGAACCGCTTTACAGCCTGCCGGAAAAGATGGGGGAAAGTTCGGTGAGGGTGGCCTCAAGCCTGTGGCATGTACTACAACTTTCCTTACTGCCGAGCGATCAGGTAGTGACTCTGAGGACACTGGATCCTGGGGCCAATGACAGGGAGATGCTGGAGCATCACCTGTCACTTGCTGGTCACTTCAGTCACACTGTGCTGACTGTAGCAGGCAGGGGTGGTGGGTGGAGAGTGGAGGGGTAGTGCGTAACTGTGAACCCCACTGGCTGTCGGTATAACAAAACCCTCACTATTTACTAGGGTGCATGATCACTTAGAAGAGTGAGGGAATGAATTAGAGAATGTTCTAAATAAATATAGCTTTATTATGTTAAAAATGTACACTCTTAGTCAAATTCAACTAACAGTTACTGCTAAGTCTGCATCTCTCAATAAACCAATAATAGTAATTGTTACTATTTATGGAGTGCTTTCTATGTCCCAGGCACTGTACTAATTCTTTATACAGTCCATCTTAATGACCTTCATTTTCACAAGAATCCTATATAATTGTATTTATTTTGCAGATGATCAAGGAGCAAGACTTAGAGAGGTTAAAGCACTCGCCCAGAGGATGTGGTGAAAAGGGAAACTCTTCTACACTGTTGATGGGACTGTAAATTGGTGCAGCCATTATGGAAAACAGTATGGAGGTTTCTCAAACAACTACAGATAGAGCTACTGTATGACCCAGCAATCCCACTACTGGGTGTATACCCAAAGGAATGGAAATCATCATGTCAAAGGGATACCTACACTCCCATGTTTATCACAGCTCTATTCACAATAGCCAAGATATGGAACCAACCTAAATGTCCACTGACAGATGACTGGATAAAGAAAATGTGATACATATACAAAAAGGAATACTACTCAGCCATAAAGAAAGAATAAAATTCTACCACTTGTAGCAACGTGGATTAGCTTAGAGAAAATTATGCTAAGTGAAATAAACCAGACAGAAAGAGAAACACCACATAGTCTCATTCATATGTGGGAAATAAGAAAATAAAGAACAAAACAAGCAAGCAAACAAACAAAAACAAATACATAATTATAAGTTGAACTGTTAAAAGGAGAAAGAAGAACTATGGTTACCAGAAGCAGGAAAGAGGAGTAGGAAGGAGGGATAATGAAGGCTGATGAATGCACACAAAAGTACAGCGAGACAGGAAAAGTAAGCCCTATCAGTATACAGTCAACCCAGAAATCTATAATCAATAATATTTTACTGCATGTAACCAAATGACTAGAAGAGAGGAGATCAAATGTGCACATCACAAAGAAATGATTAAGTTTTGCAGTGATGAATAGGTTAATTACCCTGAATAGATCAACACACATGGTATACATATATTGAAATATAACTATGTACTCTGTAAATATGTACAATCAATATGTTTCAATTAAAAAAAAATTAAGCACTTGTCCAAAGTTACACATCCAGTGAAGGACAGAGCTAAGCTGCACTGAAAAGTCAATTAGTGACGCTGAGCCCGACATTAAATTAGGGAGATTATTCTTCGACACTGGCCAACTGATTCAGCTTACATGATGGGCTGAGACTGCTCTGTTCATTCTTAGGAACCAAAGGAAACTGGGACAAGACCATCTTGGCTGGCTCCCAACACAAAGATCCCTCTTCCATGGGTGTGAGGCCTGTGGACAGGGGAGGGGACAGGCAGGTCCCGGAACTGTCCAAGGAAGTTCCCGCTTTGGTCTCAGGATTAGCCAGCAGACCTGCACCATCCTTCCCTGGCCAGTTTCTCTGTGGGTTGCCTCGGGGAAGAGAGTTATTAGGGCTCGTGGCCCTCACAAGAACCCTGAGCTACTTCCCATTTTACAGATGAGGAAACCAGGGGTCAGGGAGGCAGGGTGACCTGGCCAAATTCCAGGCCAGGATGTGCAATGGCTAGATGCAAACTCAGACTGTGAAGTCTTTCCAACTCACAGTAGATACGTGCAAATAAATGGATTTCTTCAAAATGTTTTCTAAGAGCATGTTGTCTGACTAAAAACCTCCCCTTGTTCCTTTTCTTCATATGATTCGCTGCTTGAACACCTGTCATGTTTTTCTGCCCTAACAATTAGCACTAACCTCTTGTTCAGTTCATCAGTTTCCCCAATTATTGTAATACTAAAAAGGCTTTTAATATTTTACTGATGATTAGGGGCTGCTTCCATCAGACACCTAAAGCAGTGTGTGGAAAAGAAAGGTTGTTGAGGAGGCCACCAGCCTTGCAGATCTCACAACACTGCAGCTCTGGTCCTCATCTCAGTAACAGAACAAAGGAGAAGCCAGGCTGCTGAGGGCCTCCATCCTCACCATTTGTGTGCCCAGGACAGAGGGTATCTGGGGTGAGTGCATAGGCAGTGGGGACAGTAAATCCCCTTAATGGCATCCTCCAAAGTGGCACTCTGAATGAAATTCTTAGGGTAACTATTTCTAAGAACCTGGAGGTAGGACTTTCAGCCCTGCTTTGCCCCCTCCCTGAGATTCTGACATACTTGACCTGGGTGTGGGCTGTGCGTAGGCAGCTGAGCACACAGCCCAGGTGGAGCTCCCTGTAACTCACATGCCCACCACTCTCCAGCCCATCCCCAAACACACACACCCACACACCCACACACACACACACAAACTCTCTCTCTCTCTCTCTCTCTCTCTCTCCCTCTCCCTCTCCCTCCAGGCTGCCTCTCCCCAGTGACCTCACCCCAGGTAATTCTGTTCTGGTGGTCGACCTGGTTTTGCCTCTTCAACAGATTCAGTTTCTGACCAAGGCTAGAGTAGAACCAGGTGTGCAGCGATGTTCTTCATTCCAGAAAGTCAGTCCCAATTTATTTACGTGCCTGGAAATGTGTCAAAAGCATTCAAGAGCTGAAGTAGTGACTATAGCCGAGACCTCATGGTGGTCCTACGGGGTGTTCAGTAATGTGAGTTCATGCACATTCTTCCCTGGTTGGTACCCAGAGGTTGTTTCCCACTCTGCCCCTCATAGCAAACTGGGCCCTGTTACATTTGAAGTCTGTCCTCTTCTGCATGAGCCAGCCTTGGAGGGCAAGGACAAAGAAACAAGCAGTAACTGTTGGGCATAACTTTGCGCGCATGCGCCCTGGTGCACAAGGGCGCCAGTTCATGCGCTCCGCGGCCACCATTTCACTAGCGCTCAACGGCACGTAGCTGCCAGCCTCGCCCTTCCGGGTCCCAGTGATTCAGCAACTTTAGTTCCGTATTCGCGTAAAGCCTCCCCACCACCTCACCCTATCCTTTTAAGCCCTTCTTATTGGCTCTTTGCTTGATCTCTCATATCAAAACCCGCCCTGCCCTTTTTCCCTATATAAACTGTGCCACCCTGCAAATAAACGGAGTTCCGGCTTTGACCACTCTCCTGGCTCAGTGGTGTTCTTTCTCGGCCCCCGGGGAGGAAGATCCTGGGGGGGAAGGGCCGTGCCAGCGACACTCATCATCCCGCTCAGCCCCACAAGGGACCCCCGGCTGGACCGGGGTCTCTTCCCACTCGCGAGGCTTCTTCTAAAACATAAAAATCAAAGAAATGCATTCATTTTTAATCAAGGCTCTAAGAATATGTCTTAAATTAGCATCACGAAAATGTCATTAGGACAAAAATAGTTTGCATTGCCCACAAAAGACCCCATTTTCAGTAATGTGCATCAAGTGTGTCATCTCTAATAAGACTTTGCCCTTGCTTGGCTTTTTTTTTTTTTTTTTAAAGATGACCGGTAAGGGGATCT